CTGATTAATTATAAATATTCTCTCAATGCTTGCATAGTTTTCATAGAAAATATTGAGGTAAATTCTGCGTTGAGCGCCTACTGCCAATAATTAATACAAATCTAGCGTTGATTGGTAAATATAGACAATCAACGGTAGTTGTAGGTGTATCCATTACATACATGGAAAGGGCAAAAAACAACGGTACGAGAACCCATTAAAATATTCCCAACGGATCATTCAGTGAGGCATGCGTTGTTCCAATAATCGGTAATTTGGGGTTCATCTTACAAATATTAATAACAAAGATAACCCATTCACTGGCAAGAAAGGAGTAGTTTAAGCTGCATGGTATGCTATACGCCCATGTTCATTGTTATTTGTTAAGGATAATATAGTGTACTGGGGTCTGGAGATGATAATGTAGAATTGTAGACAATCTATAACAATGTAACTATTAGAACGTACAAAATTGACTACGGATACCTAGATCTTTTATGTTTCAGTTGAACTTATCGGATAGTTTGCTATATAGATGCATTTGTTTCCATGAAAATCAACTGTCAAATAGATTTAACGGTAGCATGAAAACCGACCTTTTCGGTGAATGCGGGTACCCCCATTTTTGCTTTAATAGTAGGTTGATATCTACATAAGAAAGTGGAATTGCTTAAACGTACTTACCTCAAAATCTAGTTCAATGAGTTTTATCGTACGATTGAAATTAAAACAAATAAATGATAAACGAAATACCTACTTAAACTTATACCTACTAAGACCAAAGAGTATTTATAATTTATGGGTACTCTTTCCTAAGACTAAGACCCCCAAAGCAGAATGATTTTAATTTTTCCGCAACAGTGTCCTCAAACGTTCTGCAAATACCATGAGACGTGTACCGAGTGATAGCTTATATACCGGAACGGCAGAATGATGCCTCACAAAATGAGTTTTGAGATTCCTTAAGAATTACTTTCTCGGAACAAAGTGAACAAACACCACTCTCTCCGGGTGGTTGCCACTTGCCATGTTCGTCAATGCACAGAAAAAGCATTACGAACTGCAGTCACTAAACGGGCCGAAATGGGGGCATATGACTGCTGACGTCGAGGTGTGACCTTGGGAGCGTCATTTTTAGCGTATTTTCCAACGAAGTTCGGTGTGATATTGCAGAAACTTTCTCTGTCCAGTGTCCCTTCGTTTGCCTGTTCGAGACCGAAACTACTCTTACAGTTTTCATTATTATTTAGTTCGTTCTTTTTAAATTTGGTAGCGTCATAGAGTAAGTTGTATTTACTCTATGGTAGCGTAGAGCTCTGGCAGGCTACGCAATATCAACTTTCTTATTTACTGAGATATATCTTTTTGAAATTTTAATCACAGATTCTTCTGTTAAAGGTATACATATTCTATATTGTAAACAATAGATGTGCGCATGCGCAGTGCCAACTTCCTTATTTATGAAGATATTTCTATGAAATTTTAACCATATAATATGTTTCTGGTAAAGAAAAACATATCACATGTAGTAAAAATCGAAAACTACCAATGTCATTAGCAAAAGCAAACACCTCGTACAAAGCAAAAATCAAATGCGCGCCTACCGGAGCCGTGTAATTAACATGTTTTTAAAAATATCGAGGTTCATACTTAAAACATATTGTAACGTATACTTAATTACGTGATTTATTTATTTGCAATGAATAAACTATAAATTTATAACAGTCTTGAAATGAATTGATCTATACTTAACAGTCAAAATATTATTTATTACTCACATATAGACAATTTACAACAGCGCGAACTACATATGTATTAGTTCGATGTTGAAATTGCAACTGTCCTGAAACGCAATTCGTATTGCTGTTAATATAGCAAAGTCGAGTGTTCTCGAGCAGAATGTTCTCGAACATTCTAGACCAAAACACATCATATTTTCCAGAAATATTGGGTCACATCCGCCTTCGTTTTTTATTACCGATGCCAAATTTTTCATGGCGCCTCGAAGTCTGTCGGGATTTCTGGAATATTCGCTATTCGCCTATCAGTCCCATCTCAACAGGAAAATCCAATTCTCCATTTATATATCCTTGGAAGCTATATACGGGGTGTCAATTTTAAAAATTGCAGTTGGCCATATTTTCCAAACTAAAGAAGATATTGAAAATCGCGCAAAACCGTTTTGGGGGTATCGATGGGGACCAGAATGACGTTGTGAGTGACAACCCCCCACCCCCTTAACTCCCCAGCGCCCCGCCTCAAAAATCATAAATGGCAACCCCATACTTGTGACACATCGTTGGAAAGCTACTGAAAAATGCTTTCCAGTGGTACCAATAAAGTCAATATTCATTTTTAACAAACATTTAATAATTAACAAAAACGAACTAATAGTTGACATTGAGGGATTTATGACAAATTGGCCAAAAATTTCAACCTGAGCTGCTTGGTAAAGTTGACCCTGGTCGTGGGAAAGTACTTGCAAACGCACACAACTCCTGCATGGCGGAATTTTTTTTCCCTAGGGGCGAAATTAGCCACGCTTGCGAAGCGCGCGTTCTGTGCACCCAAATTTTTCTTAGAGCTCTAATCGCGGTCTCTTTTTCTCGTGTCGCCAATAGAAGCTCGAGCTATGAGAAAACGGGCTAATAAAATACTGATCTGCCACATAAATGCGCTGAAGTCCCTACGGTTTCACACTCGGCTTAAATGTGTCGGTGCAAACGGCGATAAGAATTATAGGTTCATATTTTGCCTAACTTTTCTACTACTTTTTACGGGAACGTACTGCTGTACTGTATACCTACATGGCTCCCACATGCCAAAATATCTTTCTGTTCGCATCCCTGCCTGTCTAAGCCTTAAGGTGGCGTTTACAATGTATGGTAAACTAGTACAAAAGTGTCATTGCGATTTCCACAATAACTTTGTTGCGAAGTAAAAGAATGACCTTCTGTAAACGATCGATTGTAGTTAAAGGTTTAAACTTGTGAATGAAGTAAATTTTGGTAACAAATTGTTATCAGTGTGGGATAAAAATGGAAGATAAATATGGCTAATTTTTAAGATTCTTATTTCTTAAATAACAGTGTAAGTACAGGAATTAGCTAAATAATTTTTGTTTCATGCAAATGTCTGAACATAATATATTTGAATGAATGTTATTTCAACCAAAAATGTTGACTCTAAAGGCCGTTTTTGTGGAAAGAAAATTTCTTGACGACATCTATTGAGCCAAGGTACATCGTCACGGCAACGTCATGATCTCCAAATGTATTCATCGTTATCGGGTGCGATTCTATGCTACACAGTTTAGCAATTATAAGAGGGAGGTCGCTCACGTCATTAGAGGGCAAAGTACATTTTATTCAATGAAAGTACGTAATTTGAATTTCGTACGTAGGACGCATGGAATTTTAATTTGATATTTGATATTGTATTGTATTATTGAAATACGAATTATTTCCTGAGATGCTGTTTTTCAAAGTAAAGCGTGCATATCTTTTACATACGATAACCAATTGGTATCAGATTTTGCATACGCATGCCTTTAGTGGTGCCAAGTTAAACTGTACAAAATTGGAGGGGGGGGGGCATGTACTACCCTTCACGGTATTCTAATGAAAGGTCTCATCGAAATAAATTGGTTTGTACAAAGTATAACTTTCCCGTGCGACTCTTTTTCGAGATCAGTGAGCGACGAGGCCCGAGGGGGAGGGGGGTGTTAAAAATTAATGTTATCTCTCATTGTATTCTAATTAAAGGTCTCAACGAAAGGAGCGGTTTTCCGTTTTCTACCAACTACTGCCCTTCTTTCTGTCCTCTAATCAAAGTACTGGGTGGAGAGGGGGGGAGTGGAACTAGTTTTATCCTTCATGGTACTCTAATGAAAGGGCTCAACGACAGAAATTAATTTCTACAAACCATAGCCTCGACCTCTTATCGTGTTCGGGTATATTCCCTTATACCTCAAGAACAGATTGTCGGAATAGGGTACTCACAAAGGGCGATTGAGACGTCTGCAGACGTCATTAGTGATGTCATATGCATATGCATGCCTTTAGTGGTTAAACTTCAGAAAATGGGGGGGGGCATGTACTACCCTTCACGGTATTCTAATGAAAGGTCTCATCAAAATAAATTGGTTTGGACAAACTATAACTTTCCCGCGCGACTCTTTTTCGAGATCAGTGATTTTTACTTACCTGGTAAACTGTGAATGCAACTACTTAAGTAATAACAGTTTTCACAGTGACCACATTTAATAATTAAACGAATTTATGTAAAATATGTAACGACTTTACTTGTTAATTTACGAAATAAAAATTCACTGCACTAACGCGATGGAACACTAAATATACCTACTTGTGTCGAGAAAACTCAATTTCCTGTACCTATACCTACTCGCATTTCATGATATGTAATAAAAAATAAACCAAACAGAATATATCTCTCTCAAGTTCATATTACCTACATTACAACAGAGCATTATCGTCAATGCGTTCTTATGCCAGACGTTTTATTATTGTATTTATTTATTATCTCTATCTTGTTCTGGGCCCTCAACAGGTTTGCGCCCAATTACAGAGTGACCCGCATAATGCTTTTTAGAGGTGTCTCTGCAGAAGGTCTAATTCTCATCTCTGTAGATGATAAATTCACCTCGACCCAGGTTGGAACACCCGACCTC